ATTTCTCCAGCTCTACGCATTCCGCCTTTCATCGCATGTCAACGCTGCTGCGTAGACGGATTGCTTGGCTAAGAAGTCGAAATTTCAACCAATTCGGGAACCGTTTCATCCATCAGTGTTCATCGCCGTCCGCACCATTGCATCGATCAGTTTCTGAGTACAAACGCAAAACGAGCTATACAGTCTTTTCGCTCGACGAAGCCCATGAGACCGGACGCCCTCTGTAGTCTGCTTGATCCGGGTTCACCATAAATGACTAGGGGTGACATAAACACCGACTTTAGATATGTTTGGGCAACTTTTGGATCCCCGGGGGCAATAAAATTCTGCTTGTAATTCGACCATCGTACCCAGTCGAGATTGGTGCATGATTAATTTTAGGTAGGATCAGGAATCCTGACCTGTGGAGTAAATTCACGCGTTGGGATTGGTCAATCCAGTTCGAAACGGACCCGAACGGGCAGCCAATTCCGAACTCGATGTGAATTCGACACGACACTACCAGCAGTCCGTCTCGCAGCTGTCATGCTTCACAGCTCAAAATCAGAGTAAATTCGAAAGAAGGTTTCAAGATGCCAATTCTTATTACTGGCTGCGCCTCGTACAGTTGCATGCTTAAATATAAGAGCTGTGGGTAGGGGTAGCTCCGTACCTGAACGAGGTTGACCTTTTCATGATTTTTCAAAGCGAAGAAACAAGGGGTCATACTTTACTATGAAGCGCGTTCATTTAGGGCGTAGGCGGTGGAGCAAATTCCATGCATTAATTTCTAATAGTCTCAACATAACTGCCGCCGTCATTGCCACAGTGTTCCCCTTATTACCAGCGGCCCCGTCATCATCATCATCATCATCATCATCATCATCATCATCATCATCATCATCATCATCATCATCATCATCATCATCATCATCATCATCGTCGTCGTCGTCGTCATCAATCATCAGCATCATCATCACCGCTACTACTACTACTACTACTACTACTACTACTACTACTACTACTACTACTACTACTACTACTACTACTAACACTACTACTACGCCGCCGCCGCCGCCGCCACCACCACCACCACCACCATCATCATCATCATCATCATCATCATCAACGTCCCATCATTATCCGTCTGCAGTCGTCACCATTCTCAACTGTCGCCATGGTGGCCTGAACCGATCCAAGACGGCCGAATCCGTGGTTTTCTTCTCTTACTGTAGTCCCGGAACAACCGCAGCGATCGTTAGTCTAAGACTTACCAGACTACTCAGACTGCCACGTTGAGTAGCAATTAAAACAAAACAATTGGCACAGGAAATAATGCCGACAAAGACAAGGGGGATAGGGATGGCCGTTTCTGACCTAGCAGCCGTCATCAGCCTGGCCACTCCCAATTCTGGGTCTGGGTGGCCTGCAGTTCGAACACTGGCTTTTCGGCCATCGAGAGTTTTTAGGTCCAAAGCTCAACTACTAAGCCACGGCTCCGTTGCTTCGTCGGTTGTGATCGGTAATATTCACTATCACATGGAGGGAGTTCACAGATGGGATTACGGGAAGAGCTCGTCCCGTAATTTGATCACTAAACGCCCTTCCCATAACAGAAAGTGATCAGTACCGTTTGTCGGGTCTTCGTTGTGACTGATTGTAGGTCCCATCCTATCTTCTGCGCTAAAAAAATATTGACGACACACTGCTAAGAGTGGGTAGGATAATGCCTCGCAGTCTGATATCAAATCGCGCTTGGTAGATATCAGCATAGACTATTTCAATTTCACAGGCGCTGGCTGAGGCAGTTTGAGTTTTTCTTTGTTAAAACTGTTTGAGCAACGTTAAAAATGCCGACTCATTATCCATTGTCAATAACTCCCGTATTTTTAGGTATCTCCACAAACTTCATTACTGCGATCCCCCTGTCCCAACGCCAGACAAGCGACCACTGGATCCTTCTCGGTGCTGCTCTGATCTGCGAGAGACCGCATGAGTAAGATGTCGTCCACCCCAGTCAACCGTAGCTGCTCAAATCAGGTCATGCCCTGAGGCAGTATGGGTGGTAGACTTTAATTCCTCCACCCTCCCGCGTGATGCAGTTCGTGTACAGTATGACCCACTGTGCTAGAAGCGAGGATAATTTAAAGCACACACGCACACACACCGCGCAGACGGATTTGCTGCCACGCAGCCAGTGTCAGATTCTGATGTGATTGACAACACAGACCCTTTTCCACCCCAAACAAAACAGATGTTTGTTCCAGCACATAATTTTCTACCTTTTGGGGTTATTCAATTCAGTCAAGGTGCAGCAGTCCCAGGAGGGCTCGGGCGTTTTCGCGTTCAGGTTTCATAACTTACTGCTCAATGAGGCGACCTTGAGTTCGGGGTGTAAGTGGCGACGGTCAGGACTTCAGAAACTTCGGTGGTGCCATAACATGTCCTGATTTCGACCGTGTCTGGACGGTAACAGCAAGAGTTTTGTGAGAGGTATCGGTGCGCAGGGCGTAGCAGGGTTCCAGCCCCCGGTTGTTCCGACTTAGCGCATGGTTGACTGGTGACGGCAAATAAGTTAGAAATTGTCCGTCGGGCGCCCCTCAACTTTGTTGGTGGTGCTTCGTGATTATTTATCGAGCTTCGTCACGCAACGGTCTATGAGGGTTTTAGGCTGAAGACCAAGAACAAGAGGGGGGACAGGTGGTGTGCCATCCTGCGATCAGACTAGATCGGGAAAAGTTAGTCTCGTGTGGTTCTGAGTATCACAGACAGTGATCGACAGGGCGCGAGTCAAGAGCTAAACGGCAGAGCGTTTAGCTCAGACGCCCAGCGTCTGGGCTCGAGTCCTGGATCTCTCGGGTTGATGAGGGCAAGTACGCCAGAAACGGCTGCTCAAACCTTGTCGGTAGTACTTCTCCAAGTCCATTAGTGAAACACCCGAGATCCCAAAGACCCCGGACTTTGTCCTGCGGAGCAACGCGCTTTTATCCTTCGCTGTGCAGTGGCGACGCGCGCCCACTGAGAGCACTGTTACAAAACTTGATAGCGTCATCTGTCACACAACCCCGGGAGGACTTTGTCCGGTCTGGATTTGCAAGGACTGCCCAACCCGAAACAGTGACAATTGGGTAGCTGCAGATCCTTCTGGTAGATCAGGACATCGTCACAACCGAGTGCGCTCTTGCTGACCTGTGCCTACAGAAGCACCACAATCTTCACTCACCGGTAAGATGGGCGTCCGTTCGCACGTTGTCCCACTGGGGGGCGGCGGTATCAGAGGGTTCAGTAATCAGGCGAGCAGGCGAATGCGAGCTGAAGTACGCCAGTGCGCAAGCTCAAACGAGCCTGTCTGTTCGCGGAGCGTATACGACCTCTTCCTGCCGTACGAGGCTTTGGGGTTGAGACAATCGCCGATCTCTTACCCACTCACCTGTTGGTTTGGAGCGTTCGGGTGACTGCCTAGAGAACCCTGGCCAGACTAACTCTCGGACCGACATTCGCTGTCATCGCCTCAGCGACGAAGGCCAGAATAGACCGCCCGAGGTTATACGGCGACCAGGAGTTATTGATCGATTATAGCAAAAGGTATGGCTGTCAGGTCGGAAGACCGTGACTTCTAGCCGGTCAGATCCTGTCGATGGATGCGAGTCGAGGGGCACTTAGAAAGGGAAACGCACACGTCTCATAGTATTTCTGGGAAAAACCCTGTCCCCCTAATTTGTCAGGAAGAGACAGGCGTTAGGCGTCCGCTGTCCAATAGACCAACAACTCGATGCAAAGTAGATATGAAGCTCCCCTGGAACAAAATTGCTCTCCGCAGTATCATCTAATATCCACAAGCATACCAGTTGAATCAAATCCCGTGGATCGTACTGAGCGCTTCTATGAGGAATTACGGTAATGAAGGGGACTATACGGATCGCGACAAAGTCGCACAAGAACTGGTAGGTGCAATAGCATTTGGTTGCAGGTTGGCTATGTGTAGTACGGCTGTCGTCCCATAGGCTATCCCGTCGGACCCACAACTGTCTGCCTACGGCCCTTTTTACCCAGCATCCTGGGCTAGTCATACCACCCGCTCCAACACGTAAATGGGAGAAGACAGGTCCCGCCGTATCTCACTAGTAAGTAGCGCGAGATCAGCGGTGTGACAGCAACAATCTATACATATCCGATACCAATAGGACAGAGCAAAGACGTGCCACCCCACCGGAAGTGCAGGAAATGGTTGAGTGGGAGCCTGGGCGGTGGACGAGGGACTGGACATTTCCGACTGAAGAATTTAAAAAGAGGATGGAGTCGTGGGATAACACAAATTTGGGCGCCACTCAAGATGAACATCTAGCTAGAGAAGCCTGTTGTGGACAACAATAAAGGAGAGAACGGAGCACGGCTCCTGTGCAGACAGTTGGACAGAAGATGCACTCGACATGCAGTGAGGAATATGCCCACGGCACCAAACGAGGGCGAGCACCCTGTCTGCGTAGCGCTGGCGAACTAACAAAAAAGCTAATCTGTAAGACCCATGACGAAAGCCCCAACACAATCCTAGTGCTTTCGCAAGTTGTCTCCCCTCGCTCCCAAACTGGGCACGGCTGGCTACCGCTCAAGTCTCCACCAATAAGGGAAGATTGGACAAGGCAATAGCGGCCATTAAACAGGATTACGGAGTCGCCCGCATAAGCCAGCTTACTTTAATACTTCAACAGTGAAGGAAAACAACACCCACGAGGACAAGGAAAAAGAAATATACTGAGTCAGTTACCCGGTTGGCCATACTGAGAAAACTAAAACCACTCAACGAGAATCTTACAGTGCATTCCAAGAAAAAACGGGCCTTAAGTGCGCACCATCCCCCTCCTTTTCAAAGCTTAACGACAGTTAAGGGACGCCTCCCCCCCCCAAAAAAAATGCACTTTGGCCAGAATAACTTCACCCACCACGCCGAACCAAGCATAAAAATGACAAAGTAAGGAATGATATTAACACAATTTCTATACAGGTGGTCTTGATTATCTGAGTCAGGCAGTCTCTACTTCCCCATCTTCTGCATGATCCTCTGCCTCTGCACCTCCAACGTCCTCCTCGTCGTCGTAGACAACAATATTCCACTCCTCAGTGGGGACGTTAGGATTAGTAGCATTGGGGTCGTCTAGCTCAATACCGGGAGGCAATTGAGCTTGCACGCGTTCTCTTTCGATGGCGGAATTTTCCTCGGAAGCCATGTAGTCAGTGTCGTAGTCTTTATACCAGGCCGGGAGGCGGCGAGCCCGGGCAAGACGTCTACTTGATGCAGGTGTTGCGGCCGCTAAGGTAGCGGCGGATCCACCACCGCTACTGCTAACGTCGGCATTGCTGTTTGTAGCGGAGGATGTCGGTGGTTCGATTTTTGGCGGCAAAGGAGCTTGGGCAAGAGATTCCACCTTGGTTACCACCGGCTCGGGAGGTTTGCGAGCTGACTTAATGAGAGTGATAGTGCGCCTGGTGACACCTAAGAAGTCGGAACGTGAAATAATTAACATGCTGGCACTAACGAATAAAGTAGTGACACGAAATGCTGCACGCCTGTCATGTAAGAGAAATTAGCATGGTAAAATGCAATGTTTCCAGTAGTACTGACGATAAAAGCAAAATTTTCTGTCGCACTGAAGACTCCAGCGTAAACTCAGCATTTCTCATCAAAAAAGGCAAAAACAACTTACCATCACCATCATCGACAGGGGCCAAATCATCATCGACTTCATCCTCAATCTCATAATCATCTTCATTGTCACCGTCAATGAAAGTGTCTCCATCGTATAGACCTCCTAAGTGTTCTAGCTTTCCACGCGGACGTTTCCGGCGGACACTGGAGTATTTGGCGGGGGTTACCGGAGTTCCATCCTCCCCATCCTCTTCCTGACGACGGTGATGATCATGGTGACGATCCAGAAGCATTATAGAGTTCGTCGTGAACTCACAATTGCTGTAACGGCACTTAAGACGTCCAACTGCGCCTCTGGACTGTCGGGCATTTCGTTCTTCTGCGTGCATACTTCGTATATGTGAATCGAGATCCTTCTTTAGTTCAAACGTGGATTCACAGTAACGGCAGACATGGCGACGATTGACCTTCAGCGCGTGAGCGCGAGTGATGTGGTGGTTTAGCTGATTAAAGCCCGGAAAACCGCGCTCACCACAAACGGGACAGGATATTATTTGACTCCCTTCGTGGGCTTTCACATGAGCCTTAAGCGATGCAACATCGCTTACATATGCATTACACGGCAGGCAGCGAAACTTCGTTTGCAGCGTCCTAACGATGCGACAACTGCGCGTGTGTTTGTTCAAGTTATATATGCTGTCAAAAGTGAGAGCGCATCCAAGGCATTCCAAGGCCAGCTAAAGGAGAGAATGTATTGCTTACACCAGAGTTACCTGAGAAGAAGCCATCATGGCGAAGTGTTCACGAAGTTCATGTTCACGGGTCCGGAGATGGGCAAGATATATGTCGTAAGACGAAAATGCTTTGTTACACGTATCACAACGAAAGATCTTGTCACGGTAAATATGCCTGTTTCTGTGGGTCTTCATGTTCGCCTTCTGTGCAAATCTTTTATTGCAGACGTCACAAACGTAAGGCTTCTCGCCCGTATGGGCCCTCTTATGATGCTCCATAGTACCACCATTGTTTGTCATATAATTGCACTGGTCGCAATGAAATTTGTAGTTCGCAGGGTTTCGTTTCGGCTTTTTCGGGTCAACGTGGTTTCGTCGAGCATGAAGGAACAATTGGCTCAGTGTCTCGAAGAACTCTTCGCACTGCCTACAGGTATACACCTTCACAAAGTGCTTCTCCCGCATGTGTTTTGTGAATGCGTTCGCGTTAGAATACATTGCAGGGCACGATGGGCACCGGTAGGTAATGCCACCTGGCTGGCCGCCAGCAATTGCTACGAAACCACTTCCTCCGGGAGCTCCATAGTAAGTTTTGGTGTTGGGGTCGAAAAACTGCATCTGATCAGAGAGTTCGACAAGTTGCGCACCATCGAGAAGGGCTTGATCTCCAAGCTATAAGGCCATAGTAAAGAGAAAAATAATTATTACTTGAATATATTCGGCTCCGCCTTCTCCAGTTACGGTAGTGACAGCGCCTGATGCAATCAGATTCTCAAGCGTCGCCATATCCATGTTCTCATCGGCGGCAATCAGGACCATCTCCTCACCGTCATTCTGTATTCCAAGATCGTTAAGAGACAGATACACTTGGCCGCTATCCGTGGCCGAGGCATACGAAACAGCAGAGTAAGCGCCATCCTGGTTCACAATGAGGGGAGTCCCGTCCTCCGTAACCATTTGTTCCGTCATGCTATGCCAGTTGAAGAGAGGAAGGGAACTCAGGTAACTAAAAGCCGGAGAATCAAGCAAACTGGTTTTATGTTATAGAAGCTGGAGGTGAACAATACGGAGGCACAATCCTTGGAGCATTGCATATTATCCGCCGACAAATCGTCGATACAAACAAAAAATGGAGAGATTTAAACAACCATTAACTCACTTAAAACAATTTCAAGGACAATATGGCGGAAAATCTGAAGAGCGCACAAATATTATTCAGAGCAGATAAACAACAATGTGCGATTAAATGTTATTCGCATTAACTTTCCACAAATATACAAAGTTAGGTATTTTTTATACATTTTGTTATTTTTATTGCTTGTATACACTTAATTATTCGTCGAAGAAGATTTGTAGTACGACTCGGCATTGTGACTAAGATCATCGAAAGAACCATAGATTATAGAATGATCAAGGCAGGTTCATTTTTGATTTCGTTTTTATCAAACGCCTTCAGTCATTAGGCGACTTCAATGGCCTGTCTTCCTGTAATGTATTAGGATGACATTAGGAGTTTTAGATTGTTATAGGTCCATCCGCATTCGTGTGCACGACCAATTCTGTACCTTGTATGTATGTATTTGAAGGCAACGGGTGGTGACCTTGATGATGCTTCTGATATATACAGGTACCAAAAATAAAGTCGTTTCATAGGTTTAAGGAGAGATCATATGTCAGACGCACAAGAAATGAAGTTCATAACTGAATTAGAGTAGCTCTGCAGTAGATGACGTTTCTTGTCCAATTTTTTGCGTCCCGGATCGCCGAAAAGTGAAGAATTAGCTTGTCTTATGGTTGAAAAAAAGTAGACTAAACAAGTGAGTGTGCTTATAACGCGTGAAAACTAGTCGATAATTACCTGTGACACCGACTAAGTCAGTTTTGCAGTTACTATGAGAAAAAGTAGGCAAGTGAGCCCCACGTAAGCCGTTCTGTTGAATATGGCTGCTCACCGTTTATATTTCAGCAGCCAGTTAGCTTAGTGACGGACGGAGAACCTCCGCATTCTGCCTCTCTATTCTTACTCCCTCCAATCTTCCCTTTAAGATTACGGCGATGTCGTAGGCTGTTCCGGACTAACTCGGGTCGCTCTCCCACTAAACAATATTAGTTGCCCATTGGGGAGTTCGGCAGCCGCCTGCGACAACTGATCAGCCCTAGTTAGGGGGGGCACTGCACGCCCCCGAGCGAGAGGAATGGGCTAGAAAACGTTCCCTTGTTGTGACAAGCCTCGCGCGACCCAACAGCTGATCGACCGGGAGAGCGAGGCGGAGTGGAAGACAGCGTGACAAAGGCGGAGGGCAAAGAGACGCAAACTGCTTCACCGTAAACAAATACTAGGGACCCACCCCGTCTGCAAATTTACCGTGGCCCCAGACGCATACTCGTGGTCAAAACAACCAAAGCAGAAACAACATTCTCTCTCCTTTCCCTCCTGATACTGACATCCAACTCACCAGACTGGTACGATGAGTCCGCTCACCCTGACAGCCTGGAATGTTCGTTCCCCTTCAGACAATCCGAACAGCAGCCGACTGGAACGAAGTAGGACTCTGGTGGCTCAGGAGCTGGCGCTACAAGGTGGACATCACTGCGTTCTGTGAGACCCGCTTCTCCGAACAAGGCCA